TGTACTTTTTTTTAATAAGAGCAAGTTCATTATATGTGGTGTTTATCGATTGAAAACAATATATCTTACACATATCTTTATAACGTAGCATGTTCATTTGCAATGAAAAAAAATTCATGTAAATTATAACGAGGTAATGATAAAAAAAAATGTGAAACACGTTCAACATATCTCGATAACTCAAAAGCCTCAAAATTTTTACAGTTTGATGGTTACGAAAAAAAATTAAAAATTAATTCTATAACTGATCAAATAAGAAATAGACTATAAAAACGTGCCATGTCTTATACGTGTATTTTCGAGTTTACGAAATTATTATATTTCTAGAGTCACATGACACAAATATTTTTTTAAGAAGAATTTTTTAATCTACAACTCGTAACTACAATTTTTATTTTTTAGAACCACGTAAGTTTGTAAATTAAAATAACATTCAGTTACAATTAGTCCTGTACATATAACGATTTCTGTCATCTTTCAAACCGTAAATAAAATCCCACAAATCAATTCCAAACCGATTTCCCCACGTTTACAACACTAATACAGTTTGATGTGCAAGAGTAGTAAAAAAAAAAAAAAAAAAAAAAAAAAAAATCCCATACCGATTTATACCGATCTCGATACGATTTTTAGTTCCGGCACTCAAGAGGAAGGAAAAAGCCTAACGCAGCCATTAGACCATACATACATATAGTATAGGTACACAGAGAGACGTTGGCCTGGGAAAGAGGAAAAGGGCAAGATCGTTACGACGCAGCAGCCCGGGCGCGTCTGTAGGTAAAGGTACGTAGACCTATATGTATACACCCGTACACCTCTCCTCGCGCGTCCGGGCCGCGTTGCAGCGCAGATAAGGCCAGCAAAGTACCTAAGCACGCGAAAGAGGGAGGGGAAGGCGCGCGTAGCCAGAGGAGCCGGCGAAGGGCTCGATTTTCCCTGGGGTGTTGCATGGACCTTGGAGTGTCGTATATATATATATATATGTATGGACGCGTTTTCCCGGACCTCTCCTCGTGCGCGATCGATTTTACGCGGAAAAGCGCGGATTCTTCCCTCCTACTTACGTCTGTCTCACCTGTACCTACTTACATCTCTTATATGCCCTTTTACGTTTCTTCGTAACTATGCTGTAGCATAAAATGTGAAAATACAATTTCCGTGAGACCGCGTGGAAAAACGAAACACCGTCGAGTCGGTGATGTTTTTTTTTTTTTTTTTTTGCTTTTCTCCACCCCCGATACGATTATCATGCCTCGCTCGGGAAAATTCGATGAGTAACGACTCGTCATATTTCAAACGCATACCAGCACTCGCACCAACGTTTAGATAATAAATATATATAAACGCATGAATTATATGCGATCGTATAAAATCTGTATGGTATATTATACGTAACGGATACATGGCACGGGCACATAAACGTGTGCCAACTTTTACGAGAGTACGCGAGAAATCGTCGTATTTATAGTTGATGGATGTGGGACACCATTACCGGAAATTGATGAGCGATGATGGCCTCCTCGATTTTTTACGCGCCAAAAAGCTCGAATTGAAAAATTTCATTGTTGTTATACTCGTATCGGCTTTATGAATAGTAGTGTTGGACAATAGCGCGATTTCGCGGTGGTCAAAGCTTCGAATATGGATCGAAGTTTTACTCTTTTTATTATTGTTTGAATTACTTTCAAACATTGGGATTTTATTGGGTGAGCTGCACTAAGACGATGCAATTTTTTTCCTTTCGTTTGCCAACGCGTTGCTTTTTTGCCACTGAGAATAACAAATAAGTATCGATTGCGTCGAACAAACAACTAAATAATTTTGACTGCATGAAAAATTTACGCAAAGAAACATGGAAAAAATAGTAACAATAATAGGCTCATGAATAGTATACATAGACCCATTATGTAGACTATTATACCCAGAAAGAGGGCATCCCTCTCAATATTTGACGATGTAAACCGTTGTTGAATTTTAATACATTTACTAGCCTATTTACTTTAGGATTTAAAATAATAATAAATAAATAAACATTTTTTTTTCATAGATGGAATCACACGAGGATATTTCCAGGAACGCCTTTGCGAATTCCCGTTCGTAATACTTAAATTGGACGTTGAACATCAAGACTTCTGGGCGAATCAAAAATACCAGCAAATACGAAGAGACCGGAAATACCAGAGGGAACCCCCTTAGCCGATGTATATAACATGCCATCTGACCCGATGCGTATTTTTTGCTTTGATGTTGTTCGCAGGGCGTGTGTGCATGAGCGTTCGTTGGCGTTTGAGTCTTTGCATACGTGGTGAAATGTTATGCAATGGTAAAATTAGTTATTACTCCCGCACACGTGTCTTGCGATGATTTTTTTTTCCTTTTGTTTCGTTTGATATGTGATCGAGAGAAAAAAAATGTTGGTTCGAGCGGACAATTTTTATTGTGAAAATTTTTAATATTTTTCAGCTCTTGTTATTGTGGGCATTAAGTTCGACATATAAACATTAAGTGCATCAAGCCCGTGGATATTAAATATACAGCTACCAAACATTTTTTATTTATCTGGATTGGAGCATGTTGGTGACAAAAAAATTATGGATAATCTCATAACTTTCTCGTTAATCACGACGACTGTTTTTGAATTCTCGCACGATTCGGTATGAAAAAAAGAAAAAGAAAAAAGATATTCACTGTAAGTACGTGTTGCTTAACGTTGAAACGTGATTTACCATGTCGCGTTAACTCGATTCGAAGAAGTGACTTTGTTCTTCACGATTAGTCAACTGATGTATTTTTTATCTATTCGCCGACGCAAGTAATGATTTTATTTCTTTTTTTAATTCGAATAACAATTAGGTGAATAAAAGAAAAAAAAATGAAACTATACTCCCTTTAGTTTACTTACGTCCCGACGTGGGTATGATGAATGTTTCAAATACTTAGTAATATGATTTTTTTTTTTTCTTTTCCAACAAAAAATGAAAAATTAATAAATAAAAAAGAAACATTTCCATGGAAAGCCAGTTGGCTTAATAAATGCGTTTGAAAATATTATGGTAAATGTAAGGCGAGTGGCATGCGGTACCAGCTTTCGACTTTGGATACACTTGACTTGACGCGAGAGCTGAACACCTGCTATTTTATAATATTAGCTGTTAAAAACAGGTGCAAACCTTGACTTTTACTCCCATTATTTTTTTATCAGTCCTTATAACGTACCTTTTTTCAGTTACTTGAAATTACCAAAAATTAAAAATGTAGATAATTTTTATAATTTTAATTGATTGATTCTTATAATTTTAATAAAATAATTGAAAAAACTGTACTACGAATACAATTTGAATAATGTATGTATGCAACAACAAACACCTTAAAAAGCGATTTTTTTTCTCTAATTTTACCGATTTACAAAGCCCAAAGAAAAGATGAGCTCCAACGCTACATGGTTCATACTGTTTTGTAAATTTTCGTACCATAAGCTGAATTCCTGGTGCATTAGGAATTCATTAGTCAGAGTCAGTGGGTATATAGAGTCGTTTCTCATCCGACCCACAACGAAATAAAACGTTTGGCTAAGGGGATGGGAGAAGGACCGCCAGAGTATATTGCAAAGCCAAAGAAATCCGTTAGTTTTGCTTCGAACCCCATAGTCACGTCAAGTTTTTGAGAATACCGGAAATGTTCTAGTCTCTTTCGTGAGACGTCAATTATGATACGTTAAAATATTTGGGTGTATATTCAATGTCATGAAATTTAAGATTTTTTTTTTTTAATGTTGGACAAAAAAGAAACAATATATTAATTATTACATTTAAATGGTAGTGAAAATAATTAATCCATCACGTGATTTGATTCGAGATCAAGTTGCAATTTCAATAATTGTTCAAAACTTTTAATTAAATAAAATAAAAAAATTATTTGTTGCCATAGTTTTAAAAAAAAGTTTGGCGTTACTGGTAATTTTGGTTATTGTTAATCGAAAAAAAAATATACATAAAACTTTGTGGGTAATATTATTTTATTTGCTGTAAAAAAATTTACATCAACTCAACATTATTTTTTCATGGTTATTTTATTAAAAAACGAAATAAACTCGCATGTTTCATGTATTTATGCAAGTACGTTAAAATGTTTAATTGAATTGAAAATTTATCCCATAAGATTTTAATAACTTATGAAATTAGTTGAGGATTAAATAAGGAATACGTTTTAATTTTTTTACGATTATATTCATCAATTGCTTTTTTTTTTTTTTTAATTTTTTTTTTTCCAAGTGACCAAGTTATATTCTCATGTAACATCCATGCGTGTACGCGACCAACAGCCTTGCAAAAATAAATAATGCTCAAGTTTTTTAAAGTCGATATATCTGAATTTCAATGTTCATATATTTATGTGTACGCAACCAACACACTACTGCACATTATATCTTTGTCATATTACACCTATACCCTAATATAGAAACACAATATCTATAACAACGTTACCTCACCACGTGACAGTTCAATAAAGGAAATACCGTGCACTTTGTAAAAATAATGAAATTCGTGTCACATACTTATGCGTCGCGCCAAATTTTTGCGCACTACGTTGCTAACAATACAAGCGAATATCTACCATAGGATTCTTAAGCGTCGTAAAGTCACATTTCGTATCACGATTATTATTATTTTATAAGCGTGTTAGCGCACAGCATCATACTTCAATATTGAGTTGCAGAGGAACACTCAAGTACTCGTGTGTATCGTGTGTATCAATAGTACGTTCATTTTTATGCCTTATATTTTTCACCGTCTACTTATGTGTTTATTTATAAATAACTATGGATTTAAGCATGGAATACAATTTGTACAACACGATGTAGCTTGAATTACTATAGTATTATTTGTACTCTTTTACTTAAAAGAAAATATTACCTTTGAACAGTAGTTCAAGTTTTTTTTCTTCATTTTTTTTTTTTTTTCTTTCTTTTTTTTTTTCTTTTTTACAGACGACGTATATTATAACGAGTCAGGAAAAATATTTTCATACATCGTGGACATAGAAAATATATTAATTTGCGTATACTTACTGCAAAATAAAAATTAATAACAAATGATCGCAACATCCTAAGATCAACTGTTATTTTCAATCGCAGAAACAATACAATTGTTAATCTTAATTTATTTTATTAACATTATGCCTTATAGAATGTTCCATTTGCAAATACTTGAAACATATTGTCAGGTGATGTCTAGATTTAATTTTCATATCAAGTTATCTCGTTTGCCTTTGTCTGCAGTGCAACAAAGATAGATACATTGCATAGAAAAATTTGTTATCTCACTGAAATTATCATCAACTTTAACGAATTTAGTTACATGTACCTACATGAGCTCCTTAATTAAAAATAGTAAGCAACTCATTGGTAGTACATTTTTAACATTACGATACATGCTTAATCGTGATTTTTTTTTATACAATTTGAGTAATCTCATTACTACGATTTGTACTAGCTTGTTGTAAACTCTTTATTTACTATTACTAAATTTAAAGAACACTTTTAATATTTTTAAATTTTGAAGACTAGCAAAATTGTGCACATCTAAGGTTTTTTTTCTTTTTTTCTTTTTTGTATACATTTAAGTCACGATTCCTGAAATCGTAACAATTTTCAATTATTCAGAGTCAATCAATAATTATTTATGCTATATTTGGTTAACCAAGCTTAAATCTAAGAGTGAATAACGAAAATTCAAAATAACGCAAAGTGTTCTTTTTCAAATATTCGATAAATATATATGTACACTGACGTGTAGTCACGATTTACTCGGACTGTTTGACAAGAGTTTTTCATTGTATAATAATGCCTTGGTTATTGGTCATTACTTTATGTTTAAAGTTCTAAAATGAAAATTTGGCACTGATTGACATTTTCAGTGCTCTGATGTGGAAACATAAACATTATTCCACAAAATATAATCCATATAAGTCATGTGTACACCATAGGACTTCCAAATGAAAAACATTCATGCATCGTATTGCTAGATTCACGTTGGTTGTTTGTAATGGTAAAAATAATGTTTTTACCCTAAAATGTAATGAAATTCCAATTATATTTTTGGTTTGAATCCATTCATCTGAAATTTAGGAAAAAATGATCGTGCAAACCGCAACCGTTTAATTCACCTGTATGTAATATTTTGGAGCAAATTGTTATCTTCCAGATTTACTTAATTATTAGTAAGTGTCAAGAAATAGAACACGGGAATTACAGTTTTTTTTAGAGTTGTTTCCCGCTAGAATTTGTTATTTAGTCTCACAAAAGGGTTCTGCACCACAGGGTGGCCCGGAGGTAAAGTTTCCGTAGGTGTTCTAGGTAGGTGCGAGATTAGCTAGGAAATTATTAGGGTAGATGGAGAAAGGGCAGAGGGCGAAGTTGGGTCCGGAGTCATGGGTTAATTAGTTGGGTAAGCAAAGATGGAGTAATAAGTGGTTTTTAGAAGTTGGGATTTAGATAAACATCCTTTACACAGAGGTGGTAGAGGTGCCCATAAAAATCACTCAAGTGGCACACGGGTAGAGAAAATACTATAAAAAAAAGTAGCGATTGTCCAGAAAATTTTGTCACAACTTTTCATCAGTCAATATGTCAAGGGAAACCTGTTCAGCCACTTGTATATACCATCCATGCAATATATTTACTCTTTTTTTTTTGAATAATTAAACATTAATTTCAGCTAACTTAAGCTAAAAACGTACGAACGTTCGCTCTAATTTCGTGTCTGCACATGGGACAGTGCGTGAGTGACGGAGCGCAAAAGACGCACGTGGATAGGTGACCACATGGCAGGAAAACCACCGCAACCTCTCGGTCCATGCAAATTTTACACTGTCTAGCTTCTCTGAGTCTTCGATTTTCCTCTGCCAAGGACACTATTTTGGAAAACGGATTTCTCAGTTTAATAGTTTTATGTAACGATATTAACATTATGAGCACGAACTCGTGTGGTTTTTATTCTGACGTTGAATAAATTATACATGTGTATTGGTGAATTTTCAAATACTTTTTCATCGATAAAAATAACTGCTAATATTTTTGTAAAATCACAAATTAAGTAAAACTCACCTGGTTCCGAAGAGTTGCCAATTTTTTCTGGCGTTTTTATCTTATTTCGCGACTCCGTTTCCGCAGGTGTCGATTTCTTAGGAGTAACAACGTCCTGGCTGCTCGTAGTCTGCGACACATTTTCGTTTTGGGACGCGGAATTGCTAGCAGCCTCATCAGAGGTCATGCTGGTGATGAACTGATTCAAAAGATGCGTAAATTCCTCCGACGGAGGTTCAGAGATCCTTCTATTTAGTCTGAAAGCAATAATGTTACTTTTAGCAAAGTTCTATTACCCATACTACGTAAAACTCTTGATTCATAGTGCATACTAACATATTATCTTCCTCTCCTAGTTGTACATCAGTTGCATCTCCTATCAGCTGATCGGCGGTAGCATACGGTAGACCCGTTTGTTCCATGCGCCTTTTCAATGCCATCTTAACTCGACCAACGTGCAAGCCAATTTCGAGGGCAGCCTGAGAAAAAAAAACAACATGAATCGAAGGCCAAAAAAGTCACAATAAAAATCAAGACACACGAGTAACAGACCATAGCTGGCGCTGTGCCAAGTAATCTCTCCAGTTCGGCATCTGTGACTCGTCTAGGTGGACTCGTTTGCGTTGACGGCGTGGTTGCAGGGGATACTGGTGGCGTTGAGTTGTCGGCGCCGTCGTCTGGCACGCTTGACAGTATCTGCGATAAAAAAGAGTTTGTCGGTATATATTGTTGACAGTCCTTTGGGCAGAAATAAAATATTAAAAATTTTGTTTACCGCTGGGTCCACCGGGGGTCTGTTGTCCACACACTGTTTTACAAAATCTGGACCTTTGACTAGCGCGACATAGCCACACCTGGGAAACCACTTGGCGTGTTCTATCCAGGCATCGTCGGTCTCCTCCCAATTTCTCAATCCTCCATCGCAGTGAAAACATCTAACTTGGTCCTCTGACCCTGTACAAATCGATATTTAATTTTTTTGTATAACTTTTCCTTCAAAAAAGTGCTACAAAATATTATTACTCACCGACGTAATAAAATCCAGCATCTGCTAACATTTCTGGTGTTTGTCGCAAGTTACTCGGCCATCCCTGGAAAGTGCGCAGTCTATTCTCGTACGTTGCATACTTGGACTGTTTTGCAGCCAAATGCTGCTGAATACCCAATTCAGTAAAATTGGAGGTTGTGCCAGGCATCAACTTGACATTGCCCAAAACCAATTTTCCTACCGACATATCTGCACCATTCGACATGTATTTTTATTTATTTTTTTAATCAACATTTTACTACGTTAGAAAAAAAAAAGCAGTACAGGAAAGTTTTATTACCGGTTAAAATATCAATGGAAATGAGAAATAGTATAATAAACAAGCATATGATTGAACTTCGCGAAAAATAAAAAATGGCACGATATATGAATACCTGAACCCATTCAGCACACAGTAGTTGCACCCTTCACTCAAATAAAATAAAAAATTTTATCAGTTTAAACGATTAATGAACAGCTAACCGAGTCACTTCAGCCTTGCTTGTTGACATTGCCAAAATGATTATATTTAGAATGCTTCGACTCGCTTGGCTGACTATCAATAAACTTGAACCTGACGTCGACTGTATATATATATAGCTCGAAAGCATGCATATGCATTGGTAAAGTTAATTGTGATTTTAGCTGTGCAAGGTGAAGGTTTGTGCGATGTTAGAATACACGATTTTAACAATACGAAAAAAGAGGAAAGAAAAGATGGGCTTTCAAAATACGAGTCAACATTTGTCAACGGAAATTACCATCTTCCATGGGAATTTGCATGTAAAAGTCACAATAGGGAAAATGCAATCTGTGTTCTCGATCAGGTTCGTCACCTGGTTCCCATTTTAATACGACGCCCTTGCAGTATACACATGCAACCTGCAAAAAATCAGTTTTGAAAAATTGATGTCAACATTATGTACAGAGTTTTAATTTGAAAAACCCACCATATCATCTTTCTGGAGATAATAAAATCCAGCCTTAGCCAAATTTTCTGGTTTGACAATGTCAGGCTTGGGCCAGTTGCTAAATGTACTCAATCTTTTGGAGTAATTCTTAAAACTTTGTATAACTTCTGGACTTTCTTTCTCCAGTAAAAACGTTTGCCCATCATCATTGTCACTAGCACCACCATTCTCCAAGCTCGATATAACAGAACCATTAGCTAGAGTAATTATAGGCACATTACACGTGGAAGTGGGATCCAGCACAAATGGACACTCTGGATTTGCTTGTCTGTGTATGGACATGACTTGATCTCCATAATTCCACTCCGATACCGTAGTGCCACATAAAAAGCATTGCACAACTTGGCTCTGTCCTGTGTAAAAGAAGCCAGCTTTGGCAATTCGACCTGCGCTTACAGCTGCATTTGCTGGCCACTCTCTGAATGTATCTAATCTTTGTGATTCGCAATGCATTTTGGTGCTTACTCTTTACAATAGAATCTGAAATCAATATTTTTTTTTTTTTTTTTTTTTTTTTTTTTTTTATTATTATTATTAATTTACAAGTACTACACAAAATCGATGAATCACAAGTAGAGGAAGAAACAAGAGAGAATATAATAGCTTCCACGATTCACAAACTTATCAACATAGTAATGATTAATCACTCTGATATCTAAAACACTTTAAAAGTGACTAACCAAAACTTTTTTCCACGTGTTAATAACACTTATTTTGGTTACCAAAAGGATATACTTGAAAAATTGTTCACTGTTTATCTTTGCGATTAGAGCCAGCTGACACCCACTTCCTCCCAGATCTCGATTATCAATAACGCCTTATGTTCAAAAGTACGAAAAAAACCCACCGACCGTATTTTGCAGGGTCTGATAGTAGAAAAAAAAATAAATAAATTAATAAATAAATGAATAAAAACGCGACCACGGGGTAAGTATATACTTATTAGGCAAGTGCTCTGTTTTCTCACGTTGTTGCACTCAGACTAAGGTTTAAATGTACACTCGCGAGCAAATGCAAAGCGACGTAATTAAAACAGCACGTGTTGCACAAGATTTAATAAAAGCTTAAGCATAGTAAGTATTAGATGACGGCACAATGATTAGAATGATTAGAAATCTAAAATAAAAAAATGTTTTCACAAACCTTCAGCCAATGTGTATGTGTACACGTTGGTCAGGTGTCAGATGTCAGGCGCAGACGGCAGAACGCAGATTACTCGTCGTTTGGAACAAATCCAATAACAGTATAGGTATAGGCACACACAGCAGAGAGAGCTATGCCTTCTTACACTATGCACTTACAATCATAAACACATTGGCAGGTATAAAAAATGGGAGATACTTTTTTTTTTCACTTACTTATCACAAACGTAAGTATATACTTAAGTATATGGTCGATTCAAAAATAACTCGCTTCATCCTCAGGAAGATACCTATACCCATACACAATCTATTGAGCTCCACCACGAGGTGGAGGCCTAAGGATAAGGTGGGTCTATATTCGTTAGCCATGCAGTTGGCAGTGTTGTTAGCAGTGATCTCCACCTCTTCATGTGCTCCTCACTTTCCTTAGAGACACCGAGTCAAGCATTGCAGATTGCATCCTCAATAATCTATAGCTTTATCCTCATAGATACACAATTACACAAATTATCTATATCAATATCGTACTTCTGGTATATTATAGAGTAATAAGTATAAAGCTCATGCAGGGGTCCAATCACGTGGTTGTATTGATTGATAAATAAATAAAAAACAGGTCTTCTTTTTAAGTATTGATATCTCAAGCCAAATCTGCGATACATTCGCACTTGTGAATTGATGTACTATTTAATTGGAGTGATTTTTAACATATTACTTTTTGAATTCTCTGCGAGGATAGAAGAGATTTTTTTTCTCGTAGCATTACATTTTTTTGAGCGATTGCTACAGCTTTAGAGAACAATCCATCAAGAGTTTACTCCTTATTTCAATTTTGTGTCTGACAGAAAAGGAGAAAAATTAATACGTTTTGAGTTCGGAGTTCGAAGTGTTAAACCCTACCTATTAATCCTACGAACACAAAAATAGCTAATTCTCTAACACTATTATTTGTCTCTGCCCTAGAAGAGTAAACATTATTTATTACGTGAGCAGAAGAGAGATAATGTGTTACACTGTGCAAGATATAATGATAATTAAATTTTATTATCAATAATATTCACAATATGTATCTAAAAGCGTTTGCGGATTGCAGCCTATATCACCATCAATTCAATTCAATTCAATTTCAATTTATTTATTGGCGTCGTATTAAAATACATATGATAGTACACTACTCCAATGCTCCATTCTTCAGAGACTCTTCATGCGACTGTGCTTCTATTTTATGCCTTTTTTCTTCAGTTGTCTCTTTTAGACTAAAAAATTCATGTACATATTTGATCGTTATTCAAGATTTCTGTAACACAAATTTTGCTATGTACATATTGTATAAGTTAACTTTTTATTGGAACTATAAAGTTAAAGGGCTGTGCTTCCATGAGTTTATAGTAAAAGGTCTAAAGTATTGTTATTTTGTAAATATTGTCGATTTTATAAGCCATATAAGATAAGTAGCATATCCATACTTTTGGAGGTCAATTTTCGGATAATAGATAAATTATAAGCTTGCCACAAATAGCAAGGTCAATGTCAATTTTTGTTACAAATCTATGACATTAGTTGCGGCTGGTTTATAATTAATGACACATAGCTCTACTTTGGATCAGCGCCATCTAGCGGTCTTCATTTTTTAGCGAAAAGTGGCCTCTAAAATTCTCAATCAGAGCAATCAGGCTTAGAGCTATTTAATCAATTATAAACCAGCCGCAACTCATGACGAAGCTATAAAATAAAAAAATAACGATACATGTGTTTTTGGCGGCAAGTTACTAATCGATTTTCTACAAAAAAATCGACGTCCTATGCATTTATACTATTGAAGATGCATTTTCGAGCAAAAGATAGATTGTCAACTTGCCGCCAAAAATACACGTATCGTTATTTTTTCATTTTATAGCATTATCATGAGTTGCGGCTGGTTTATAATTGATTAAATAGCTCTAAGCCTAATTGCTCTGATTGAGAATTTTAGAGGCCACTTTTCGCTAAGAAATGAAGACCGCTAGATGGCGCTGATCCAAATAATCACAAATTCTCAATCTATCTTATGCTCAAAAATTTATCTTCAAAAGTATAAATACATAGGAGGTCGATTTTTTGGTAGAAAATAGATTGTTAACTTGCCGCTAAAAACATATGTATCGTTATTTTTTCGATTTATAACCATACGGTTAGTTGCGGCTGGTTTATAATTGATTAAATAGCTCTAAGCCTGATTGCTCTGATTGAGAATTTTAGGAGCCACTTTTGGCCAAAAAATAAAGACCGCTAGATGGCGCTGATCCAAAGTAGAGCTATGTGTCATCAATTATAAACCAGCCGCAACTATTGTCATAGATTTGTAACAAAAATTGATATTGACCTTGCTATTTGTGGCAAGCTTATAATTTATCTATTACCCGAAAATTGACCTCCAAAAGTATGGATATTCTACTTATCTTATATGGCTTATAAAATCGACAATATTTACAAAATAACAATACTTTAGACCTATTACCATAAACTCATGGAAGCACAGCCCTTTAACTTTATAGTTCCAATAAAAAGTTAACTTATACAATATGTACATAGCAAAATTTGTGTTACAGAAATCTTGAATAACGATCAAATATATACGTGAATTTATTAGTCTAAAAGAGACAACTGAAGAAAAAAGGCATAAAATAGAAGCACAGTGGCATGACAAGTCTCTGAAGAATGGAGTATTAGATCTCACTAAATAAAAAATACATAAATAAAAGATGAGCTGATTAGTAGGACAAGATCAGCCGTCAGTACAGACTGGTTGAAAAGCTTTAATATTAGCAACAGTCTTGCTTGTGCTCTCATGTGTGCTTTATCTCTTAATTATTGTTTCAGAGTTTCTGTCCCGGAATTCGAAATTAGCGAAAACTTAATTAAACCTCATCATGGATTTTTGTTTTGTAAATGTACGAAATTCTGTCTGAACCATAACAGGTAACAAGGCAACTGCCTCATAATAATGGAATCGTGAATAGGAATACTAATAAACTCTTTTATACCAAAGTCATGCTAAGTTCAGTTATCTAAAGTATAAATATTCTCTACTAAACACTGAGTTGGGATTCACTTAGTACTGGTTGACATAGCTTCATCTTTCTTTCTTCCTTAACTGAATTATACAGTTCAAGACTAAAATTAGTAGGGTTACTCAGGGTTGTCGATCAATTGAGCCCTTTAGCTAGAGAATAGATTTTTTTAAATTTCTGTAATCCGTGTAAAAGGGTAGACACATGAAAAAAAAAACCATAGACGCATTGAGGTCGCTTCATAAAAACTCATTTTAACAGAAAATCTTCCTGAGCACCTTTTTAACAATTAAATCATGTTAAGCTTAATCAACGCCAATTTTTTTTTATTGTTAACTTTTACCTGGAATTCAAGAAATAAAATAAAAAAGGTATTATATTCGAAACGAGTTTTATTCTTGTTAAGATAACAAAATCCAATCTTGGAAAAAAACACTAAAAATTCAGATTATACGAATAATACAATTCTGTTTATATAGCAGAGATTTCAATGATTATTTTAAATATTTACAAAAAAACATTACGTGTACAAATACAAGCTTACTACAATTACATGTAATTTTAGTAAGGAATCGCCTAACAACAAAAACATTAAAAACCTTTTTTTTCGATGATTAAAAATGAGCTGGCATAGCTTACGAAAGTTTGTGTTGTACTAATTACTTCAACTAGCCTACCTTAAAATACACTTAGTAATAAATTACAACATATATCTGCACTAACAAAAAAATTGTCTAAAAATGTATAAACGTGGTTTAACACACAAGTCTTTAAAACGCACAGCTTTTTTACATATGCGCATCTTCAAATTTTTAAGTCAAATTGGTTATAACATGCACTGTTTTATGAATAAAGGATAATGTTGAAACATTTTCCATACAAGTCAAGATTTTCAAATATTTGTTTTTTTCTCGATTTCACCATTGTTTTTATATTCTTTCTTCGTATTTATAAAAACCTTCTTGGTATGACTACTTTAAGTCATTTATCTAAGGATTTGATGCATTAAAAAATTTTGGTAATAAAAATCCATCATCAACTATTCCGAATAATACAAGTTTTTAGTAATGGTTGGTAATAAAATCAATTGTGATTGATAAAACAGTGCACATAAGAGGATTGAACATCTTTTTTCAATTTATATCATGAAATTTTATGATAAGATGAATCATTTAATCTCATAAAAATAGCTGCAGTCATCTTATTGTGACTTTTGATTCGTAACTGTATATGCTTCTCTTTAACAATAAGTAACATATACGTTTACACTTTCACAGAAATGTTCATCTTAAATGAAGAAACTTCGCAATGTCAAGAGATTTTCCAAATATAAATTTAACGTTTGTAAATCATCATGCCATTATTCTAGTCTTTATTAATCAAGTGGTAAATTGTTAGGGTATAATCACTTTTAATTGAAAAAATTTCATTAAACAACTTGCTTGCACTACAACAATCTGGCTTATTTTTTTAATCAAAAAAGTTATATAAATTTATGGTAATAATTTAATTCACTGTTATTAACCGACTTTTGGGAAAAAATCAATTCGAAAATGTATTGGTTATAAAAACACTTGTGAAACCTCGACATTACAATAAAGTTTCTTAAAGTTCAAGTTTTTTCGGATGTTTCTAGTCAATAAAAAATTTTTATCAAATACATTGAATCAAAAAGTTTAAACTTCTTACGCAACTACGCTGAAGTCTAGATCTTAAAATGTTTTAAAACCATTTGAGAAACGTCTCATAATAAATCTTTAGACAAGTTCATTCTTAATAAGCACTACCAAACTGACCTTGGATACCAAAGCTGTTGGTATTGTTGAAGTTCATATTCATCATTTGAGATGTAACGTCATCTATTGCAGCAGGAGAGCAGGTATCTAGAAAAATGATTATTTATAGTGTTTCTAGTAATCACATTTTTCAGGAAAATAGATGCAAATACATACGGTAGTATACATTGGAATCATATAACGATTGAAGTTTCTGATACACAATAGAAACTGCTGCATCTAAAGATAGTTGCTTTGTTGGCTGTATAGGACCAAAGTCAACCATGATGGCCATGTTGTTTCTTATGATCGTTACCTATGTACATTTTAATATGTTTGAGATAACAACACGAAACTTTTAAGTATTTCACAAACGATAATTAAAAAATTTTTTTCAAGCATTATGTGGTTGCAACAAAATACATCTATAAGAATCCATTAATTTACCTTATAAACAAATCCATCGGGACTGTGGCTTTGGATACACTCAAATGTACAAGAAGCTTGCAGGAACCTTCCCACAAAATCAGAGAGACTATGAACGTGTTGTAAGTCAAGAACCTCGTGATTTATATTTCCTGGACATTGTGGTTGTCGTACTCTTGGAGGGTATTTTCGACCATTCTTTTTATCTTCATATTTTTTGCCATTTTTACTTCTAGTCATAGCATCATTGATGCACCGCTGTCTTTCAGCTTTCTTTATAGGACCAATGGGCTTTGCCCAGCAAACTTCCCACTGTTCCTGTTCAGCTAAACCTCCAGGCTCTGAACGATTACACAACAGAATAATAATTTTAAATTATTGAAATTTACTTTATAAACAGGTTTTTAAACGTACGTGTTACAATGCTCATAGCTCGTTCTGCCATTTCTCGAGTTTCGTAATGGATAAACGCAAAGTGATTTATTTTCTTCAGTTTTACAATTGAAATATTTGTTGCCTTGATAAACATATCTCTAACTTTTTGTTGAGAAATTTCCATGGTCAGATTTCTTACAAAAAGTGCCGTGACCTACAAAATGGAATAAAAAATGTTTCTGTATAAAATTAGAATCTAGATAGTCTCTTTCGATTCTGTTAACTAATAATAAAAAAAAAAATCTGAAGTAAAAAAGTATACTACTTAATTCCAAATTGTTCATGATGATTAACTCACACTTTTCATGATATCATCATCGACTGGTTCACCAGGCTCAGGATCTGCCCAATCGACTGCAACCTCATGGTCCCATAACAGTACTTTTCCAGGAACGAGCTGACGCCTGGCCATTGCTGCCGACCTGTGATCTTTGAATTCGACAAAAATGAAACCTGCAATTTATAAAAACACACATAAAATACCCTACTATGTTTCATCACCAGAGGAAAAAAAAGAGCTGTCATTAGACCTCTGTTTAACGATCTATCTTGTGCACTTGGATACAGATATACATCCACAATGCCATCCATGAGTTTGCTTAACTCTTCCATGAACTCGTCCTTAGTTTTGTACTTGGGAACGCCACCAAAGAAGAGCCTACAGTTGTCGGTCGATTTAACAACGCCAATGGTAACGCCTGGTCTTATCTCGTAATCGTTGAGCATCTGCAATGAGAAAACAATCGATTAACATGTTAACCACAAAAAAAAGCCCATAGCAGATACATGGTTAAAAAGATATGTATAAATAACTTACGTCGCAAGCGACACGAGCTGTCTTGGCATCGGCATACAGCGCAAAAGCGTACTTCTTGGTCATGCCGGAGAACTCGAGCAGCAACCTCAGCTCCATGAGTCTGCCGGGTCTCTCCAGGATGGGCATTAGCTCGTCCTCGTAGCAATCGCGGGGTATTCGGCCAATAAAGACCTCCGCGCCCTTGATACGCTTGCGCGTCTCCTCGGTCAGTTCGGGTGCGGTGAGACGCCTCTGGCCGTTCTCCTGGACGAGATCGTAGCCGGTCTTGTGCATCAACTCCAGGAGACGATGCGTGAGTTGACACTCACTAGACGCGGTCGAAGTATCGGAGACGCTGCTGATGACTGTCGAGGCACTTCCTCGCCGTTGGGCGTCCATTTTTCCGCACTACCTCGGATGATGAACTCTCGCGTGCTTGGGGGAACACACGCCGGGGAGCGTACCTTGCGTTTACCTAAAGGATCTTGAAAAAACAAAAATGTCCTGTTCTAGGTTTCGAACAAAAAAAAGTCCTTCGCGACAGCCAAGCACGTACTAATTGTAAAAAATTCGCGACACTGAATTCGAGAGAACGAGAATGGTATACGTATAGACACGTTCAACGGTCATAGGATGGAAGCGTCGGGAAATGTCAATAACAAACAGACTAATCTGCCTGGAAAAACAATCATCTCGAGCTAGGTGTACTAATAATACTTACTGCTGCGTATCGAAGACCTGCTCTCGTCTGAAAACCTCTCGCGACACTACGGAAAATCCGACCAAGTACTCTTCGGTGGACGAAAATTATTAAAAACAGTCGAAATGGATGTGAGGAGCGACCAGCACTAATCGTGGAATCGAATCTTTGCGACGACCCGATTCAAGAAAGCCGGACGGCATTGGCGGCCGAATCGCCGAATCGACCCTATTCGACGGTTATTTTTTCTCGCTGAGAGAAAGAGAGAGAGATAGAAAAAAATTATCGGGTCCGTTGGGATATTGCAACATCCCAACTCCCATGGGAGTTAAGGGAGTTGGCGCTTCGATCGCAGCGGGCCAAGTTCGTTTTTCGTAGTTCTCCGGATCACGTGGTCGTCGGAGCGGCGCTCTGATACGTGGAAACGGCGAAAATGCGAAAATGGAGGGGTTATGGCGGCGGCGTCGGCGGCCGCAAATTCAGGGAGGGGAGAGAGGAGAATATGTACAAAGTTTCGAGTTTAGACAAGCTACTCACGTTACTTCTATTAAAGTTTACGTACTTATCTATTTAAGTAAGTATTTGTCTGAATTAATTTGTCTTCTTGTTACGAACAGTAAAAATATCATTAAATGTCATCTTATATATTGGTGTACTTTGTTCAATTTTAGTTAAGGAATGAGTTATTGGCCTTATTGAGTAGTTTTTTGGTAATCAACTTTTGGAACAAAAGATCGATTTTCTTCAAAGTTGCTGAGTCACCAAAGGTTAGTAAATTTTGTTTTTGCATGTCTGTGTAGAAAGCTAAAATGCAGGTCGTGAAATCATATTTTTTAGCGTACATATTATTGGCTTTGAGCCCCATATACTTTCCTCATAAAATGAAGCAATTCATTTCCAATACCTACTCCTTTAGAATTTTTTTTTCAAGACCCTCACTAAGCACTAATTTTTTCATGGATTGAAAAAAAACCTTTTGAGAATTTTGGTAACTAAGATTCTTTGAAAATTAATGTTGAATATTGATAAGTTGTATAAAACATGGTGTATGGTTTTCGTGTCATTAGTCATGATAGCAATGCATTGTATCTAGTGTGATGTACTTGAGTACTGTTGAAAAATTTGTCAATAAAGTATGACAAATAATTGTGTCATTATTCATGGCAAGCTAGGTATCTTATGTTTGTTTCTATTTCTACTTTTTTGACACACCAGATGAATACATAGATACGACTACAGAAATTTGATGGTTTCTACCCATGCTTTGTGATCCATCCCCAAAAATTCTCAGCTTAAATCTTGATATATATATATACACACATGCGTATGTATATTAGTTTGAAAAAAACATTTTGAATCATGCTGTTTAAGTTTCATGAGTTTCAGAATATTAGCTTCCTAGACAATCAGTAAGTTTTTTGTGTTACCACATAAAATGTGTGCTGTTGATAGTTCAGTGATATTATTAGCTTAAAATGATGTCATGTAATGATTAAGGCTTAGTTAATAGAATATAATCGCACTAAAACATTATTGTCAATATTATAATGCTATCAAGTTCACTTCTAAATGATAATGCTTCAATTAATTCCCTTGGAATGGTTTTTTTTTAGTAAATTTTTGTAGTAACAATTACAAAAAAAGTGACATAGGGTAGAAATAATCTGAGTTCAATAATTTACATACAATTTGTTTTCCACTTTATTCTTAAAATCATGTATCTCCCAAAACATTTGAAATCCTGTAATGTACATATCCAGTGTAAGTATACAATATAGGATTCTCATTTTTTATATTACAATACTATAAATGTGCGTCAGAAGATTCAGCTTACTTTTACATTTCTCAATTTTTTTTTAATGTTGATATGCACACTAGCAATTTTTAAATTTTACTAATTGGTAGTAATAAATATCAGTTGGTCCAAAGTTCCTTACTGGACTTTAATAGCCATTGTACATAAATTTATTCAAATCTAACAATTTCTTTTACTAATTATTTTCATTTAATTTTAAGTTATGTTCAACAATATTTATATAATAGGAAAAATATTTAGCTCATGTAACAGTACTTAAATTTTTTACTTAGTTCTACTGTACAAAGTAAAGTTACACCAATTTAGTCAAGAAAAACTTGTTCTAAATCCGTTTCATTCAGTCTCGGATTGTAAATCTCCTTTTGTGTTTGAGGTTGCAGCGAATTTAGTGATTCTGTGAGAGATGTTATTTTTTCAATTGCTTTTACATTTTTGCTTTTCAACTTTTTGGCAGACAATCCCTTATCAGTTATGTTACACAATTTTATTGCTAATTTTTCACTTTCCCGTATTCGTTCCACTGTAGCTACTTCTTCTTTTAATGCTGCATGAAATGTCGTCACCTGTAACAAACGTACTTTATGATTTACTCAACTTATTAAACGATTTTTATCATTAACAAAAAGTAAGACTAGTGTTTATTGGAAGCTTTCACTTTCACTGTTAATGAAACATATTTGAGTAACATAACTTCAAGAAGTTCAAATATTCTTTACAAATTTCTATGACTGCAAATAATTAGTTAACAAATTCCCCAAGTATAGTGTTATATTTACCCTTTTTGCTTCCTGTTGAAGATGTTCTAATTTTTTTTCCAACTTTTGAATTTCTTCGTTGCTGTACTGTGTGGCTTGACACTTGTCCTCTTCTAGCAGTACATTGTCAGGAACGCAAATAAATTTACGAACCGTATTCTGAAATTATTTTATCCTCGATTTAATGAGTGATTCCGAATATTTTTAACTACTGAAGATAAAAATTACCTCTATTGTTTTAAAGTGAGGTTTCATATTATGTCTATAAGTTTTCCTTAATTGTTTGATGTTATTCTTTAGCAACTCTTTTTGTTTTGCTTCTGGATTGTACTTTTTCTCTATAGATTCCCACATTTTATGACACCTTGTGTCCACGTTTTCTAGTATCTTCTGGTGTACTACAATAAAAATAATTTATTATTTATACTTCTTTGAAGTGCATCAGATACTTAAGTACACATCGACCTTTTGATTTCTTAGAGAGAAATTGAATGTGTTTAAATGAACTGAATAGATAAAATTAAAAATTCAATAAAGTAAAGCATTAACACGAAATAAAATGATGAAAGGGGTACTATTACCAAGTAAGACAATTTCTTTCACGTCAATATAAAGCCTATCAAATAAGTGTAAATATTCATGCACTGAATTTCTCATCATTTGACTTAATAGTCGATTACTAGTTTAGTAAGGTGGGTAATGTACCAAAGAACAAAAAAATAAAGATTTATTGAATATAATTTATTTTCATTGCCACATGATACACATACAACTTTAAATCACATGTATTACTAACTGTACAATTAACACCTTTTACAATGTACACATTGAAGCTCGACGAGACTTACTTTAAATGGCAATTAAAACTAATCGTAAACTACACTAAAACAAACAAGCAAGAACCAATAAACGAATTTGGTAGGAAGAAAAACATCTTGATTATGTGTCCGACATGGTGCGCATTGATACTCTCTGTAGAAACTTGTTCCAGGCGCTGGACGAGTGTGAACTCTAGTCATGACTTTCGATATAAAATCCACATGAATCCAGAGCACACCCGTCCAGCGCCGGAGACAACCGCCAAAACCAAAGATACAACGCCGCCTTATGATTGATCTAACTTTGGTTAAAAAAAAAAAACTCTGAAAATCCAACGATGCACCAAGAGAAAACAATACATCGAAAATAAAATAGAAATGGCCAAAGAAAGGAAAAGACGCGCACCGAACAAAGGAGGGTACGCCCGATCGGCAGAGAAAAAACTTAACGGCTCAATTTAACAAGTAAACGTTGTAGAGGAAAAAAAAAAATTATCACGCGGTTACAATATTTAAGTCGCGATTCTGACAAACCGTTTTAAATATGAACACAAAAGACAAAGGGAGATACCGTAATATACAATACAGCAAGCCATGCATGCAGAGGAGGAGCAAAAGGTCTTTGTACTCGGGAGAGACCGCGTCGTTTTGAAGGGGAAAAAAGATGTAAAAAATACACGTATTTTGTGGAAGACAGTGTGGGTAAAATAGTGTTATGAGCGCGTGAGTTTCCTCTTACTCGCAGCAAAAACGGTCCTGGAGTGCAGCCCGAACAGCTGCATCTCATACTCCTCGGCCCTGCGTCTCGCCAATTCGTCACTTTTCCTCTCCCCTTGGTCCATCGTCCTTTTTGTTTTCTTTGCGAGTTAAAATTGTACCCGGGACGTGCAGCTCGGCAAGTTGACTTCTTAGCGGGTACACTCGGCGCACCCGATCCGGTCAGCTCCGCTGGACACAATGGCAGACAATGCCGCGAGTCTCCCTTCTTTCTCCTTCCTGTAACATGGCCGTATGCGGCGCGCGCGTTGCCTCTCTATGATCGTATCATCCTTGTTCAGTTGTTCGATTCATCACGTCGAACCACTATACATGTATATATATGCATAACCGTCGTTGCCTCTCTGTAGATGTTGTTTTTGAAAAATCTCGTGCATGCCCTTTGGCGCATTTCTCTGCGTCGAGTTCGAGGATGATGTTATTTTATTGCGGCTACTTGTTGAATGTCCGCGTCACCCTTGTATGTTTCAGGGTATATTTTCATGTAGGCCACTTCCATCGGCTTCCAGCATCCATGATTAAGTTGTTTTTAGGTAATCACAAATTTTTTTTTTTTTTTTACGAAGAGAATGTAAAATTTGATACCGAGAAATTATTTTCTACTCAGACTAGAAGATGAAAGATAAGGAAATCATATTTTTTTATTTTAACAGAGAGTATAGCGTGACGCTGTAAAGTTTGAAAAAAGCATCTCTTCCGTGATGTCGTGCCTCAGCACTACGTCCTCTTTATACTTATAGGTTTATATTTATGTGCAGCTTCATCATACAGTTGTTGAATAAAATAAAACAAACAAATTTCCTTGACACAACTAAATGATCATTGATCAAACTACATGTGTAAGCAAGTAAAGGTATTTTATTTATCGTTTCAACGGTTTAATTCAATGTATATGTAATTAAACATTTTTTTTAAATTAACAAATTTTTGCAATACTTGACTTTTTAGTAGAAATGGATCAGACATGGATCAATCTTTTGACCATCGCGGTCAACGATTTTATGGGTAGTTCAATAAATTTATGTAGGTGGCGTTCTCGGGAAAAAAACCTGAGTGTGTGTGTCTGCTCGACACACAGGGTGACACTGACACAGGGGCACAGCCGTGCAAATTTTTAGGTTATAGAGCCTTCGTGTCAATAAATTGTGTACAATCGTTCTTTTAAAAATTTTATTTATTGTGCAAGTGTAAGGTCTGAAAAATCGCCAAAATGAGATTTGATATTTTAAAACTTATCGGCAAAAACTCAAAGAGATATGCCAATCTACCAGACAGTTATATCAAGAGAAAAATGGAAAGGGTAAATATTTATTTTTTTACTGAATCAACAACAGTATTTACTTTAGGTGTATACTTTTTGTATTTAATCAATACGAGTTTGTGTTTTGTACTAGTAATGCTCTATTTTTGTAGATATATTGGAAAACTCCGGGTTGGCCTAGGCATCTTCCAAAAACTCACCAGAAAAAGAAATTTTACTTTGGTCTAGAGCGGCCTTGGACCAATGAATTTAGAATGTTGAATCCAGCATCTGAAATACCTAAGCATGAACATGTTGAGCCCATTTTGAACTGGTCATTCTTTAGAGGCGACAGAGTTAATAAAAACATATTAATCTCATCACTAGTTGCTATGGTAATATATCTTTGAGAAGGCTCTGACTCATGGTATTTTATTGCCATTTATAGGTGGAAATTTTGACTGGTCCTGATAAGGGTAAACAAGGAGTTGTGTCGGTTATCTACGAAGAAAAAAATTGGGTTATTGTTGAAGGCTTAAACACTATTATTGATTTCGTGGGTAAGAACAAAGATTTTCCTGGCATACCCATGCGAAAAGAGATGCCTTTGCTAGTCACAGAAGATATACAGCTAGTAGATCCTCAAGATCTGTAAGCATACAATTACTTCATGTAAAACTGTGTGTGGACAAGTTGATACATTTTTTTGAAATTCTAAAATTTCATTGAAAAATATTTTTCTAGCAAAGCAACAAAAGTTGAGTGGAGGTATACAGAAGAAGGTGAAAAAGTACGTGTTTCTCTCCGAACTGGAAGAGTGATTCCGATTCCTCCTTCCCATTATGAAACAATCGATTACAAACTACCACGATCATATAAAGAAAACGACGAAAAAGATACTCTAAAGGCTATTGTTGAAAAAGTTACCTTCAAAGTAAGTTCGAATGCTGTAGTGTACCGAAATTACAATTAAGGATCATTTTTTTTACAATTCTGAACCGTTTATTTTTTTTGTAGCCTGAGTTGAAAACTTTTGAAATGGACATAATGGAAAAAATGGGAATTAAAGAAGACCGTGTTCAAAAACCAACTTACTGGTATTGAGTCAGCATTACTGTATGAAAATTAAAAAATACATTGTAAATAGGAATCGTTTACCTTTATAGTATACGTTATATAAATTTATATCAAACTACCAAATAAATAGATGACATTTACTTTTGCTTGTAATAAATTTCAAACAGTACTTTTTCTGCTACAAGGATGAAGGATTCTTAGAATTAACAATTTTATTGAATGTAGTTGGATACAATATCATTTATTATTACCAGAGACTACATTGAAAATGCTTTTGTTTTACAAATCAACAACACGTAAAAAACAATTAGTGTAGAAGAAAAAAAAAGCATACATAACAGTTTGACACTGATCGCAAAATTATACAATAATATTGAATATCGCAACTTACAGTTTATGGTTAGCTTGTAAAAATAAGTCAACTAAAGGGTTATTTTTTTTATTATAAGTCAACAGTACAATCATTAAATTTCTTTAATATTTCACGCCAAACCTCGATGATAATTATAATTAATTAAAGGCGCACAAACATACTCACACCTATCACAGCACGATTTATTCAATAAAACAAGCAAATTAGAAAAAGGATTAAACAGATTTTTAGATTTAAATAATTCAATAATATAGTCTAATATAGTCAACTTGTAACTTTGCATTCACATTCTTCTTTTTTTCTTTTTTGAAATATTAACTGTGTATTTGGCACATTCATTCATTCAGTCACTCATATACTCTGTAACGTATATATTTTCACTATGTATTTACACATAATTTTTAATGAAAATGATTTGGAAGAACAATAATTATTGTTTCTTGATTGGATAACCGTCTGATGGACCAATGTTTAATGATCTACTGATTTTCCTTTAGTTAAATCAAGAAAAGCTAAGTCCTGATCTTCCCTTGACTTTTATCTTAGACGACCCTTTTAGAGGCTAAATTTCGATTACAGTGAAGGCACGTTTAATAAACGGTATATATTATTTGAATAATTTTTTGATGACTTAAAAAGGCACAAATAATTCCAAATCATGCAGTATGTCGTTGAAATGTCAACATTAGGGATACACTGAAAGGATCGAAAGAAAACTATTAAGGCATGTTTCTACTTCTCCATTTTACATACATGTGTAACTTAGTATTACACAGGACTTCTATTCCTGTTGAAATAATAAATATAAAATATTCGCTTTTTTTCGTGTCCCTTACAAGTTAAGCTCATTTTTTTACATTTTACTTGTCATTTTTTAATTTTCCACGACAATCAGTAATTGATGTATTTAAAGTTTTTTTTCGACACAATTAGATTAAAGTTCCCAGCGTCAGTCCTTAACTGAGAAAAGTGTTAAACAAATATTACCCCAATTTTTAGGAAAATTAAGATACACTGAGTAAAAATTACGTTGGATTTTAATTTTTAACACCATAAAAATTACTGTATCATACAATAAAATTGCGTCATGGTGCAAGTGTACCTTCTCTCTCCTCAAAAATGAAGTGGTTATTGCTCCTCTATTTTGCACATTGCGAGGGTACAAGTTTTTTAATGACGTGGTCATTTTTATCTTCTCTCGTTTTAATTTTATATTGAAAAAAAGGTTTTCTCCTTTTTTTTTTTGTTTTTACATAAGCTCATAATATTGCACTGCCAGCACTTGTTTATTCGTTTTTTTCTCTTCGTTTGACGATAGTACAGTCGAACCACATCTCATACATATATGTGTATACATCAACCCCCACTTAAGACTCGTAGTATGGCGAAGATGCAAAAATATGATGATTAAAAAAGAAAAAAAAAAAACAAAAAAAAACGTAATATAAATAATAATTGTAATAATATAAATATATGATAATAATAATGATCATCAAAGGCACACAGGGGCATTATTGTCGTTCGCAATACGCAAACACTTGACTGTTACAACCGACTACTTAATACATATAAATCTCATAAATGTATACAATAAAATTTATCTCTAATCATTATATCGTAATGTTTTGTCTTTACGTATGTATATAAAACTCATTCATACAGTCGCACGACTGTATTCGTTAATATTTTTCGTATTTCGAAAAAAAACAAAGAAACAAAAAAAAATCGATTTCTCCTTTCATGTTGCTATACGAGTGTATGTTACAGCTGTCAAAACGAATGGAAAAAAAAAGGATCGAAAATGCTACATGTACTGGTTGAAAAACCGGCGATAATAGCGCTCGGATGACTAAACTTATGTGATAATCGTTGTTTCGCCGCGCGTCGTCGTGTTCACGAGGATTTGGTGGCAGGATGTCTGACTAGGAGACTGACTTCCCCGTCGGGTAGCTTCTTCATCAGCGACCAAGCCTCGATCCTCGACATCCTGCTCACGTCGCGGTTGTTCACCTCGAGCAGCTCGTCGCCCGCCCGCAAAGCACCAGTCTTTTCGGCAGCACCACCTTTTTTTTTTTAAATCATCGATTAACTTATTGTTTTTATTGACATTTTAATTTGTTTGTGCCACAGACTTTGTTAAAAACAAGTTGATTTTTTTCCAATTTGCAAGAGATTATATAGATTTACTTTCATATTATTGAATTAAATCACAACCGAACAAGTAAATATTTTTTTTCTTGATAAGTTATGTATAAATGTTTTTTTTTTTTTTTTTTTTTTTTTTTTTCAATTTAAAGAAAGATTGAGTTGGTAAAAAAATACATCTAAGCTAGTCAACAACGTTCTTCGGTATAGTCTTTCAACATCAGTAACTCAATATCAATTCTTGATTAAACGCTCAATCAGAGACAAGAAACTGCAAGACAGAGAGAGAGAGAGTGGCACAATATAATTAAAAACAAAAAGCTGAGCTCTATATAGTTAATGTTCGCGAAGAGAAGGAAAAAAAAAAAAAAAAAAAAAAAAAAAAAAAGACAACGGGAGGGCTCATCGGTTTACGGTGTATAAGATACCATAGCTTGCGTGGCAAAGGTTTCGTTATTCTTCTTCTCTCGTGCAGCACTCATTACGTGTAATCTCCACGCGATGGTGTATAACGCAACATGTGGTACTTACCGGTGAATATCTTCTTAATTAAGAGGGGCCGGTCGCCAAGCGGACTATCGTGGCCACCCTCGAGACTGAAGCCCAAGCCAGTGCCGACCTTGTACATTGCCACGACCATCGGCGGACCCCACGCTGTGTTATCCACGACGCCGTTCGTCTTGTTACCTGCGTTTGACAATTGCCGATTGTATTACATGAATCATACTTTTTCTTTTCTTCTTTGCAACGCGTACAAAGTGCCATCCTTATACCGATTTGATTAATTTGTTTGCTTATTCATTACTGGCACTTTTAATTTCTTTTACCGATTTCAACTAGGCACCCTGAATAAAAATGTCACTTGGGCAGGTGGTGAAAAGAATATCAACACCAAGCATATTTTTTTTCTTCAAAACCTCGTCTCTGATGGACTTACATGTCCCAATATTTTTGAAAATAACCACGCAGTCAAAAAAAAAAAAAAATCAGCTCACCCTCTCCTGCGGAGCTGACGCTCTCCGTGCGCGACCGGAACCTGGAAACAGTCGTCGCCTCGGGCTTGGCGCCATCCTCGGCCTTAGCCCTGGAAACAACGAGCACGACCTCGGACCTCGGCTGCTTCAGCACGGCAAGGCTCTCCCGGTGCGTAAGTCCCCGCATGCTACGCCCGTTGATGCTCAGAATGCGATCGCCCCTGTGCACGCTGCCCTCCTTGTCGGCTATCGAGTGGCTGAGCACCCGGTGAATCGTTATCTCCTTCGTCTCGCAGTCGGCGCCACCCGCCAGGATTATCCCCACGCTGCCCGTCGGGTTCTCCTTGTGCAGCAGCACCACCGCCACGTCGTGGCCACCTACATGGACATTCCGAGTTGCGATTGGTAACAAAAATGGAGTCAAACGGAGGGTCCTCGTTTCAAGTCCCGAAAAATACATTTTACTACCGACTCGTAAAAAGACGCCTCGTGTCCCACAAAGAGGCTCATTTTGTCTCCCCCCCCCCTCCGCCGAAACTGTTTTATAGCGGCCCTTAATTATTTACCCATGTACCCTCAAGTCGCGTCTCGCAAACTTGAAAGATTCCATATTTACGAGGACGCCCACTTTTTTTTCCCCCCCCCCCGCTCGTACTGTATACTTGCGGATGGCGAAACTAAATTTCACGCGGAAAAAAAAAAAAAAAAAAAATAGAGGGACGCGGGATTTATTTCCTCACCGGGTACATACACTGATCTCCGAAAAGTGCGGCGCGCCGAAGCCCCGCTCGTACATCATCCGCGCGACCGAAATTTATTTACGGTACATAATATATTTTTCCCTCTCGGTGGCGGCCATTACCTGCAATTAATTGAAAAAATGTACGCGCTACCCACGGAGAGAGTACATTATGTATATGTAAAAACATTAAGGAGGGAAAGAAAAGAAAAAAAAGAAATTCGAAAAGACCCATATCGGTGCGTATAATTTCGCACACGCAAAGAGCAACGGCAGCGATGCATCACCGCAGGATCGGAGGGAAAGAGATATACATAATGGCGCGGAGGAGGGCGAATTGCGCCAACGATCGATCTTGTGTTATGATTATGATGATTACCTCTTGGCTCCTCGAGGTTCGCCTCCTCGACCAGTTGGGCGAGCTCCTGCTGCGATATCAGGCTGGTGCTGCTCGCGAGCGAGCTGATACTCCCAAATTGCTCGCCGTTGAAGCGCTCCGTGTCTGGCTCGCAGGCGCTCACTCCGCCCACGGGTCGAAGGTTCTCCTCTACGCTGCTGTCGAGACTAGGGAAACGGTTGTGGGAGCCTACGTTGGCCTGTACAACAGATTTAGGTGAGATGGTTGCCTTGGGAAAATTAGACGATTAGATGATGGATATACTTCGTACTGACCGATTGACCGCCCAGCGAGTATGCACCGGTGGACGAGTTGTGGTCCACCTTTTCAAAGACCTTCTTCATGTCCGTGACACTGGCGCTTCGTCTGCCAAGGTTGCGCGACATCGGTATCTTGGAACAACTGTTGGTTTGCTTGCTCGACTCGCTCGTCTCGATGGTACTGTCCTCCAAGTTATCGGCAAAAAGCTTGCCAGTTCTGCCGCTGAGCGAAGGTATCTTCGTAGACGGTGTCTTCTCTTCGGACCACAGGTCTGCCGAGTTGGATCTCCTCTCGATCTTTGAGAAAGAGTAGATGCTCGCCTCGGGGACTTTCTCGGACGTGGTTCTGGTGTCCGAACTGATGCTGAGGCTGCGTGGTAATTTGGAAGACAATAGCTCGCCACCCTTGGTCGTTAGAATGTCCTCCAGATCCATCTGGCTCTTCAGTTGGCCGTAGCTGCCGTCTTCCATGTGGATGGCAGACCTGCACGGGAATTCAGTGGGTGCAATTTTTGGAAGACTCTTTTCTTTCACTCGAAACGATGGATAACATACCTCGATCTACTTTTCGTTGTCAATACTGCCAAGAGATCGTTGTCCGTGGTCTTCTTCAGGGCATAATTCGACCTGGACTTTGGTTTGATGGAGTCGATCAAGTCCACGTCACCCTCGCCGTCGATGGACTGGCTCCTCGATCCCATGGTTGTCGAGGGGCTCTGTTCGTTGAGAGCTAACGTTGACTTGCTTCTGAAGTTACGTGAACTCGAAATGTCCTCGTCACCAGCCAACGTCTTCTTACGACTATCGTAGGAATTGGTTCGATCGTTGCTGTCGGTTGTCAAGTTCCGCATTTCGGATCTGACCCACGACTTTATATCGTTGGAAGGCTCCATCGCTTCGGGCTTTGGTGGCCTCGAAGTTGCTGCAAACAATGAGAATTGTTAGAGAAAAAAACACTGTACCTATCGTCACACAAAGGTTCAACACGACATGACTTACGGATTGGCACGTTTTTGGCTTGCGGGATAACAACGCTCCGCTTGGGTGGCAATCTCGGTTCTTCGTTCATCTCCTTTTTACCATCCTCCGGTTCGACGTTCTCCGCAATTTCGATGTAAGCAATCTTAATCTCGGGCTTGACGTGGTCGGCGTTTCCATTCGATACTCGGTGAGCATTGACGAAAACCCCGCTCTCCTGCTGCTCCCCGGCTTCCTCCTCGTCCGTGAACTTGCGCTGAATCAGCGGTGAACCGTTTAAATCCCGTCCGCTGCGGCATCTTGCACTTGCCAGGATGTTCTTGCGGTTGATGGCCTCGACGCTCTGTGGCTTGAGGACTCGACGGGACAAGGATTCAGCGCTAGCTTGCGACCCCGAGGTCAGAGTTGACGAGTTACTCGAGTTGGTTTCGGTGCTGTTCGAGCGTTTCAGCATCTGACGTTGGGGAATGTGGGACGACCGGACTTGTTCAGCTGGTTGTTGCTGTTGGTGCACTTGCTTGAGATGCGTCGTTTTCTCGGGTACGGAATAGCTGCGCTCCGATATCAGAGTGGAACGCACATGGTTGTTGCCGTTGTAAACTTTGTCAGGCACTATGGTCGTGCCGTTAGTCTTGCTATCAATTATCAGTTGTGGGCGTTGGTAGTGCGTCTCCGAGGACAGGTAGGATCTTTCGGAAGAGATGGTAGACCTGTCCGAGGGCACTGGAGACGCGGGTGGACTGAAACCACGAGAGATACTGCTCTGGGAGCTGCTGACAGCTGAATCGTTGTCCGAGTCGTCGTACTCGTTCCTGCCAATCTTGCGTTGGCAGTTGAGCTTGGGCTTCGAGGCGGGATGGTTATTTTCGGGTGAACCGCTAGATGATACGAAATCAAAGCTATAATCACTTCTCGTTGGACTGCAAATACTCTCGAGACTCTTGGGCGCATCGGATGCTGGACTCGATAGTTGACTGTTGGTAGTGGTGTTGGCACTGCCTTTCGAACCATTGATTGCTGACGAGTTGTTGTTGTAACCTGTCAAGGTTTTCCGTTTGAAAGCTGGAGAATAGCTGGATAGAATTTTGGGTGCTGGCATTTTGAAGGAAGTGTTTGTCCGCATGGAGGAGCTGACTGTGCTCGCGTTGCTTGCAAGTGAACTCTGGGAGCCCCACTTGTCGTGAATGTTGGATCGAGGCACCTGAAAAATCAAAAAAAAACCTTAAACGTCGATCACAAAGAAGAATAGGTACATCCATCCTATAGGATTCTTGGTCGCATTACCTGATTAACCAAAATAGATTCTCGAGATTTGATTTCCGGCAAATCGATGATCGGCTGGTCCACCGACACCGCGTCCTTCTCCGGTATGACCAGTCCTCTCAGCTTGGACATGCCCTTTCGTCTCTGCTCGATCAGCTGGTTCAAGCTGCTCTTCCGCATTTCGTCGCTCGGTCTCTTGAAAGTCGACGCCAGCGAGGTCGTCCTGGCGATCGATGACGTGCCCCCCGGCACTTTGCTCGAGACCTGAAGCGCATCAGCGCCATACGGACCCAAAGATCCCGAGAAACTCGTGGCTCTCGTCAGCACGGCCGCGCACGCAGCTGGTGCCTTCACCGGTGAGGGCATAGGCGAAGCCTCGTAGCTCTTGCCGAGACTCGGACTCATGGCGCGGCTGTAGGCCGTCGAGTACGAGCTCAGGGGACTGCTGGACATGGACGAGCCACTGCTGTCGCAGTTGTTGATCTCCCGGGACTTTTGCAGGTGTATGGGCGAGGAACCACTGCTACCGCCGCTGGAGTATCCATTGACCCCACCTGGACTCGAAGGCGGCGAAGTCTGGGGCAAATTGGGGACCTTCTTCCGAAGGTAGCCATTGCCGGTCAGGTCGAAGGTGCTCTGCGTACGCTCGGCCACCATCGGTCTCTTGTCCTCCCCAAACACGTCGTCCGACGATTTGTGCTTGGACAAGCGCCTCGGACTACCTGCCGCGATCGAGGTCGGGAACAGCGGAGCCTCGGCGCTGCTCTGCGACGAGAACATCGCGATCTTGTCCTTGACCGATTTCTCGGACTTGTTGTCCTGGCGCCAGAGGTCGCTGTTGGACGCAAACTTCCTCTCCTGCGACTGGGCCCGAGCTTCCACTTTGGGGGGCCCGGTCAGAGGCAAGGGTGGCGGGCTCGCTCCCACCTCCCCCTCATCCGAGCCCTTCGCGTAGTAACCGGCCATCTCGATCTTCTTCTCGCTCGCGAGGCTCTTCTGCGCACTGTAGATCACGTAATTACCGACCGAGCTCCTCTTGTCCGCGTCCACTTCTTTCTGCATGAACTCGCTCAGCATGTCCTTTTTGTCGAAGATGCTGCGGCCCTTTTTGGTGACGAGTGTTACCTTGTCCGTGGGGAGGAAGGGATTGGTGCCGTCCACCACCGACTCGCCCCGGTCGACGTCGCCGTTGGCCGCCATCGTCTCGCGCGTCGTTACGTACTGGTACTGCTGGCTCGGGCTCGTGAATTCTTGGTACGCCGCGGGAAACTCGTCCCCGTCCGGGGGCAGGCGCTGGCCGCCACCTCCGCAGTTGTCCATCCTACCATTTACCGCGCCTGGAAACACCACAAGGGAGTCGCTCGCGTTACCTTCTTTTCTTTTCAATTAACATGGCATACAATTTTACAAACAATGCACGTATATATAATTATTTGTGAGTATAACATATCAATTCCAATATAATGGATGTCCTAACGTGAAAAGCCCCATCAGCTGGTATAAGACGAGAGTTACAATATGCCCATATGCAACTCATTTTTATATATATATATGGGACAAAAATATGGCTCCATGAAAAAGAAAAAAAAAAAAAAAAAGAAACATGTGCCTTCGCGCGTGTGTTCCTTATATGCCCCGTTGAGCCCTCCCAGAGCTATCGCTATCACCTCGAGGCCGTGGCACTCGAGGGGTTTCTATTTATACAAAGGACCCCGTACGAACTACTTTACATCCGGCATCAGCGGAGATCCGCGTCTGTATATGTGTGTGTGTGCTACATCCGGCTATATCATCATACCGCGTCTATGGAATACAACGGCGTCGTTAAGACCAAGACGACCAAGCGCATCCGGCCGTGAATTTTTTTTTTTTTTTTTTTTTTTTTTTGCTCAGGCACCCGCGCGCCCAAGATGTCGAATTACCGAATCCTTCTTTCTTTTTTTCCTTGGTCGCTCGTTACTTTCGATCGATTTTTGTCGAAGGGCGTGAAAAGGAAGGAGGGAGGAAAGGATATTTTTTTGCGATTTCCGCTGGTGCGGGCACTCGAATGGTTTCTGTAATACAATCAGATTCTGTTGCTTCTTTGGTTATTTCAGTGATCGATTGTTTGGGTGTTCATGTGTTCATGTGTCCATTGTTACCTTGAGTAGATCAATGAAATTTAATAATCAGAGGGTGCGAGAGAATATTTTGTCGGCTAACTCAATTAGTTCATTCATCATTTATTTACCAACACCCGAAAATTTTATTTGGAATTTTCTTGTGTTGGCAAGAACAATAAACAATTTTAAATAAAAATTTTAAAAATAAAATAAAATAGTTATTTTAGACGAAAAAACAAAAATATCGTCGTAAGTTTTTTTCTCCCTCCTTTTTTTACCAAGATAGGGTAATCATGATAATCAAATTACTTGAAATTCAACGTTACCTTTAATTTATAAAGTATGCAGATTTGGCTCAATTATTTTGTGGATTTTTAAACGATTTAGAAGAAAATTATTTTTCCTTACCAAAGAATGTATTTTTTAGAAAAAAAATTCATTTTCCAACTTGTGTTTTGTTCGTTCAGTCCGAAAGCATGCAAACAATGTAAAATCGCGAAATATTAAAAGTCAACACAAACGTATCACATTGGCCTCTCGAAAGGCCGCAAAGAGAGAGAGAGAGAGCACGAAGCACAGTTATCACGAATCTAAAAAGTCGAAACCAACTCGTACACTTAGGTATACAACAACTCACGACTCGAATAATAATAAGTCGAGCCGAACAATCATCCAGTTGGGCCATTCATTCCCGTTTTGCACGACAAGCGTCGTTCATATAATGTACACACAAGACCTGCCGCCGTGGTGTATCAGGCGCGCATTACATGTATGCCCACTCAAGGGGCGTGTAAGGGATACGTATCGCGTGTGTTCCTCGCGGAGCTCTCAATCCGCTCGGCGTTTGTTTTTCTGCCGAAAAATAATGTAAGCCCGAGCCGGAGCGTACAAGAAAAATGACTGAAAAAAAACCGGAGGGCCATACGGCCGAAATATTTGCCGCGCTCGCTCTCTTAGGCATTAAATCAAAGCCAAATGAGCACTTATTCATTCCGATGGAGGGACACTTTTTTTTTTTTTTTTTTTTTTTTCTTCTTCTTCTCATCATCGTACGCGCGCGAGTTCTGCTCCCATCCGTGGAATTTACGAGTATCGCCTTCTCTTTTGGGCACCGGCTGCACCACTCGATGGTTAGCGTTTCTTCTTTTTTTTTTTCCATCCCGTATAATGCTTCCTCTTTAGGCCCTCGACTCTCGAAAGTACAAGCTAACACTGAAAAAGACATTTTGTTTGGGCTGCTGCCTCTTTTTTTTCTTCTTTTTTTCCTCTCTCTCTAGTGCTTTTTCGGGGGTTCGAAAGGAACGGCTTCTTCGTCGGCACGAGTGTTTAGCAACCTTCTTCTTCTTTGCCAATGTTTCACGGGTTTTAGTTTGAAGGAGGGCCCTTGCGTTTTGTTTAATTAAGGGGGAAAAAAGGCCTCGCAGGATTTTCGCCAGAACCAATGTGTTTTTAGTGCTCCAACCGCGTACTTACATGTCTTTTAAAAATCATTTTTTTAAAAGCGTCTCCCGAACATAACACCAGGATGGCCTCGAAAATTTATGCTCGATGAACAATATTTAATACGTATCCGAGAGAAAAAAATAACAATAAACATTACTGTGCTAGAATGGTAATCTGACACTATTCGGTCGTCCAGATACTTTTTACTATTGGAACAATCATTTTTAATGTTTAGTGCAGTGATTTTTACTGTTTGTGCTATAAAAATTTCTGTCCAGAATGGTAAAAATTAGTTTGACAAAAACAAAAAGTCCCTAGACGGTAAAACGGCACTACATTACCATTCTAGAACTATAGTTTTTATTTTTTTTTCTCTCAGTGCATATTGACTATTAAAAACTCAGATTCGGTTGTAATTATTTTTCATACGTGTCCATGATTCAATTTTTAAAAATGATAACTTTAAGAAACATCAGCTTCAAAGTTTTTCCATGACAAGCTACCGGACGAAACTCGATATAAATCCTCTGGACGCGGTCGTGCAATCGATTCATTGCTTTTTTTTTTTCTCGCGGAGAGTCCTAGTTGCGCACTTATATTTTTTTCAACGAGAAGTGATTTTCTATACCAAAACGGTAGCAAAAAATGTTCATAATCGCACCTTTTCCTTAAAAAGCTCGGCCTTACTGCGGCGGGTATTTCTTATTTCATTCTTTCGGAGGAGCCGGCGCAATTTATTTAATTGCATCTTGGTTTTAACTGCACATACTATTACCGGCTCTCTCTCTTTCTCTCTTTCTCGCGCGGCAAAGGGGCATTTTCCCGGGGGAATCGTTGTTTATTGTTCCAAGACGCGCAAGCGCACGGGCTTGGGGAACTCGTTCGGTTTTACGCGCGAGGAGCTTTTGAAATATTTCCAAGATGGGGAAAGAGACGAGGAGACGGAAAAGAAAACGACTGCTCGAGGGGCTCATTATCATTTATGGTTTATGGGTGTTGTGATTATTTGATGTCTTCATGATATCTGTCTTTATTTCAAGGAAGCCTGAAATAAATGGGTGGTATGTTTACGGTTGCAAGTTCATTGAATGAGAAACGACGAGCTTTTTTTTACTCTCTGGATCGCTTCACTTGAAACATTTTTTATGAAATTGCGATAATTTTTTGTTCAAAAACCAACATATTGTCTGTAAAAACACTTTTCATAAATAATATTTTTAAGTTAGTTTCTCCAAAGAAGTAAATTAAGTCAAGGATAATTTGCAATTCGCTAATACCATGATAAAATGGTATAAATTACGATTATTTTAAAAATATGTATTCATTTGTTTAAAGTCTAAATTTTAAAAAAATACGAGGATAAAAAAAAAAGCACTCGAATAAATATCTTTTGATGCAGTACACGAGCCTATATGTATTTTCTAAGCTCTCCTACTTTATAATTTAATATACTTTCTAATTGTATTGATTGTAAAGGTATTAATAAACAATTTCTTACATACACCAGGTCCATACCAATTGTCTAAATTCCTAAAAGATTCGTTGCTTTCCGAAAGTTTTAGATTATAGGATGATCCACCCGATGATGTTAAAACTGATATATTTATTTGCATATGTGTACATAAATACTTATTTTTAATATCAACCTCGGGGTTACAAATGAAAGAGTCGTCAAAAAATTCTCAATTCTCGAAATTTCCCACCAACAAAAGCGCACAAAATACTTGAACCGATAGCCAACAGTTTTCGATAAAAACGACAACGGCGCGAAAGAAAGAGCCTCACAAGCATCCGCGAATCTAACAAGCTCGGCATTCTTGAGCGCACATCGAAATTTTCCGAGAAACGCGGCACGATGATGCTGTTCATGTGATGATGATGGCCGGAAATACATAGGCAATTACGTCGAGCCACTCGTACACCCGTACCCTATAGTCTATGCACGATATCTCCACAGTTTGGCGCGTGTAACGCGTGTGTCACGCATCAATGGAGAGAAATAAAAAGCAAACTTGAATCTTCTCAAGGAAAACCAATTGCATAATTTGAGGGAGTAAAAATATAATTACAACTTGGCCATACAAGATCAATGTTATATGGTATGCAGCATCTGGAATCTGTGTCGATTATCAGACACATGTACCACTCACTTTTGAATAATTGCTTCAACTGCTCGCACGAAAGTGAGATTATTAGATAGACACCGATAGCGCGTCGATGTACCTATTATCTTACGCGAAATCGTCACTTATTATAGATGAAATTGCGACGCGCGAAGAATTTTGTGTTCATCTTATATATGTATACGTACATGCAGTTTGGTGTATAGTTAACTACAGGTTCGCTTGGTTAACAGTTTGATCGGCAGTTTGGCGGTTTCATCGAGGAAAAACTTTTTTTTTCCCCGTTTTTTCAAAATTACTCGGTAGTTTTAATTTTTTCGCAAACGTACAGAGGCAAAGGGATCGATTGAGACTCTTTGAGAAATTGGCTATTAAACGGTACGCTGGACGTCTTTTAATTGAAACCGATTATTTAAAAAAAAAAAAAAATGTTTTTCATCCATAGATTTGATGAGGCAATATGTTATAGCTTATATGTACTTATATCGTGTACATGCCCGCGTAAAAATTTTTACGTTTGGCCAAAATTTCGCCAAAGTTCATGTGGTCAACGTTTGGCCAAACTTGGATTTTAGTTGGAATATTTTATTCAATATTTTTCGAAAGTCATATAATGCAGACCAACTAATATCCTGACGCAACAAATTAATTTTTTAGACGTTTGGAAGA